CCCTGCAAGAAAAGAAAACAATTCTCTTCAGTTTGACATTGTAGAAGAAATAGTTAAAGGACCAGATGCAGCCATCTTCACTAAATGGATCAGATGAAAGATCTGGATTGTAGCTGCAAACAAGACAACATCTTTATTGAGATCAGTTCCAGTTTAATATAAACAGCCTCGTAACAATCTTTTATTGATCATGCTACTCTGTGTCATACACCTATTTTAAAACATTGATAAAGCTAATCCAAATTTAAAGCTATTACATTAGTTTTGATACCCTTGCATTAAAAAGAGATTTTTACCTATAGATATAGCAATCCTTTAAACATATTTCCTCATCAACAGCAGACCACAGTTGTTGCCTGAAAGCACCGAATCTATCTCCAGCAGCAGCAAAAAGTGAAGAGTTAATATTCTGTTCAACCCACTGAAATAAAAATATCTTTTCAGGTTTATAACATTATGAATCAAAATGTATAGAATTATAATTATTTGTATTTGTGTGTGATTGAACATTACTGTAGGACATTAATACAAGGTATAAAAAAAAAAAAAAGACAATTTAAAAAATATTACAAGATCCCATTTTACATAAAAAATGATAATAGTTATTAAATTAAACAGTGTAATGGATGGCAGCCTGGTGGTGTACTAAGTGCTTCGGATTATTGTCTTGAAGGTTCCTGGTTCGAATCTTGACTGCCGCCTTCCTAAATGTTCTTTGGGAGGTTTAAGATAGGATGCAACAACCTTCATTTTTAAAGGAACATCCCAAACATGTAATCCAAAACAAAATTATCTACTTTAATGAACTGCAACGTAAATCACATCAGAGAATTTCAATCTTGAATGGAAAATGTCTACAAGCAATTTAAAAATCAGTATCAGTAATTTTTAAAGCTATCAAAATAATGTTAACAAGGGACTTTTGTAAATGTGGTGTAAACTGCTTAATAAAATGAAATTCATTAACTTTCCATCAAAGCCAAATGAAATACAAAATTAATAGTATCTGTCATCAGCCAGTAAATGATAATTCTATGATGCCTAAACTTACAGAATTATTGTTGACCACACTAAAGCCTACAGTAGTATGTCTATCCTACATAATACAACCAAAATACAGAGAAAGAGTCATCCCTAGGGACTATTAATTTGGATTGTTTTACCAGTATTATTAGACTGAAGACATGTTCCCAGGAATATTAGTTTGAAGAAACTAAAAAATGTTATCTAGTAAAGATATTTAGCACTTGATTTATAAAATGTAAACTGTTGAATGATCTATATGTTTGTAAATATAGAATTCATGATAAATGCATTTTTTTTTTGGATTGCAAAAAGTCTTAAATGTCAGTCATCAGTTTTTATATGTTATAAGTTAGCATTTATTTAAATGTGTACAGGCTACATGTTAGCATTTAACATTTAACAGGTTAACATTTATCTAAATGTGTATACCTGTTTTAATGTAATTGTTTGTAATGGCAACATAAAATAGTATGCATAAGTTTTTTTTTCCTTGTAATTATTGGCACTAACAGACTCCATATATAGGGTGCAAGTATTTATATTCTACTAAATATACATAATAGTTTAATATATGAAGTGCCATTCTTCTTCTTCTTCTAGCCAGCTTTATTGCTGCTGAGCTGTGAGCTCTTTTGCAGACTGTGCCAAGGAAAAAAAGTGTGCTGGAAGTGCCATTCACAAACATAATATAAGCTCAAGATGCAATGAGAACATAAGAGAAAGTATATGGGTTACATTAAGTTTAGTACAGTGGTTATGAACCTGTTTTCAATTCAGTCTTTACTTTCTAAAGTGAGGATATTTTTTTTTCATGGAGTCCTAAATAGGTTTGAAGAAGGTACATTGCAAAACATGGGTGGCAGTGCATTGTTAACAGAATGAATCGTTAGATAGTGTCCACAGAGAATCACTATGGAAAATAGTTAGAATACACATTCCAGAATAATTACTCCAGATTCTATGATACCTATACAGTCAATCTAGTTTCTGCATTAAAACAGAAGAAGAACAACCGAGTTTTTTAGCATCCAGACAGGTGTGAGACAGAGGTAAATCTTATCTTTCTTCCTCTTCCTCCTAGCCATCGACTACATAATAAGGAGAGCAATGAACCAGGCTGTCTTTGGTATTCCAAGGCGTGAACAAAATCAAATGACAGACTTGGACTTCGCCGATGGCGTTGCACTACTCGGGACTACAAATAAATGTATACAAGAAATGACGGAGAGCCTAGATAGAGAAGCACCCAAAATTGGCCTCTGTATAAACACAAATGATTGGGATGCCTACCATGATGTAGCATGCCGAATAGGAAAGGCAGGGAGCCTTTTCCAAAGGCTGCAGCCTTTTGGGACAAGCCAAGCCATTGGACTCGAGACAAAAATACACCTTCTTAACACAATCGTCATCCCAACAGCAACATATGCATGTGACATATGGAAGTCATCTGTCAAAATTGAAAAAAGACTAAATGTGGCTCAACAAAAATGGCTGACACGGATTTTGGGAGTCAGTTATACATATTGGGTCTCAAACAAAGAAAATCCTATGCCTTACTGGGAGTCGAACACTTAGTGAGGTTGTGACACAGCGCCGCATGAGGTTTGTGTGACATGTTCTCCGACAAAATGAACTACCCATACCAAGAATTTTGATGACATGGAGGCCAATACGAGGAAAGCGCAAACATGGACGTCCTCGTATAACTTGGTGCCACACTTTCATGGAAGACCTTAGAACAGTGGACACCAGGTGGGAGGAGGCTTCAGATATTGCCAGTGACAGATCTTTGTGGAGATAGCTTGCCGCATAATGCGTCAAATGGTGCAGGAGCACCTAAGTCTAAGTAAGTCTACATTGCAGAATAGTCAAACAACGTTTTTTTTTAAATATAATGGAAAGATAAATGAAAATGATAGTCCCTTAAAAGAGGCTGGAGCATACAAATGACATGTAAACTATTTAGTGTATATAATGTCTTACATCAAGACTTGTCTCACGGCTGAACTCTGAACTTTTGGCTGTACTGAAATCATAGTCAGGGTTGAAAGATGCATTCAGAGTCGAAATTAGATAGAAGAGGGTCTTGGTAGAAATCGTGTCACAAATCGTTCCCCCTTCTTCAAGACTGCCCACAAGTAAAGTGTTGACACTACAGAAACAAAGAAAAAAATCAGCTAAATCAATTAAATGTCACTTTATAGACAAAAAGTATTGGATTCAAATAAAATAAAATAACCTAGCTGAGTTCTCAACTACAAACCCAATACATAGTAACAAAATGTTTTGAAAGTAAAATACTTAATATTTAAGGGAGAACCATTTCTAAAAAAATGCAACCAACAAAGTATATTTTACTTAAGTTGAAATAGTTACACCATTGCAATTTTATTGTGAATCTACCAACCACTTATATGTTTTGTCTGTTAATTTTTGAGCATAGTATATTAAAGTTAACCTTCAGCTATAATTGAAAATAAGAATATAAGACAAACTCATTAGGGCTGGATGTGCTGTATGTATAGCCATGGGCTTGAGGTGGTGATAAGGCTTGTAGCCCTCCTGGTGCCTCACGATTTTCTTCATTCAATGTCTTGTAAAGACGTTTGTCATTGCCTGCCATTTTGCATGAGTAGCTCTCAATACTAGATGAATCATAAAAAAAAAATTACTATTTTATTGTTAAATTATATTCAAACAAATTTTTACTAACATCATAAGTTACAACCAACCAGCATTAGACTTTTTAAAAAACATCTCTACTAAAAATTTAACTTTCTTGTACACATGGTATATGGCATTTTAAACAAAAATAACAGAGGAGAACAATACTAATTATTCACTTCAAGTATGCCATTTAAAGTTTGCATTTTTGTATTTTAACTTGATAAAATAGTTAATTAAATGGTAAAATTGAATCACTGCCTGACTGAGGATGTACTATATATATATATATTTTGTCCTAATTCCATGCTTTTTTTGGTTCTCTATCTGCTATAATCTTGTCGGAGGTTTGGGCTAGGATGTAATACCTCTTCAATTCTGAAGGAAAACCCAAAACATAAAACAAACAAAAATATCACTACAATATATATATATATATTATATTATATATATGAGTGTTTCTCCTTCAGTTGCAGAAATGAGATGAATTTCTATTTATAACGGAATTTGCTATGGTGGAACAATGTCAACTACAAAGAAGTTCCCCTCTCTACACACTAATGATGTACATGTACATCCAAAAGAACAACAAGTGCCAATACAATTTGGGATCAGTGGCATTGCAGGGTAGCTAAAGATATTCAATGCATTCAAAAAGATTTAGTAAAGACTAGAGTAACATTGATAAAGTAAAAAAAATATAAAGAGTAAAACTACAATTCCTTTAAAAACTCTTAAATATATTTATATTATTAAGGTAATTTTTATGGAGATAGATTACAAAAAATCTAATTGTTAGTAATTAATCAACTTACCGGAAATCAAGATGTGTGTTACTGTTTTCTATGTCCATAGACAATGCTGAATTAACAGCTTCAAAATTTGAATTTTCCAGTAGTTTCATTTCTCGTCAAATATGAAATTTGATCTTTGATAAGGAAATTGAGCTTTAGGGATTTAACGGCTGCCAAACTAAATTTTAGATAACCAAATCTGATTTTGACCAGCGATATGGTAAAATTATATATTTTCAATACTTGTAATATGAGGCAATATTTCAATTAGCCTCAGCAGCTGATTAGGAAAAGACAACTATATTTTTTACTGCTGATTTGTATAATCTCATATATCTAGTTTAATCTAAAATCTAAATGAAGAGAAGTTAACTGATCTTCTATAGAGTTGTCTTACAGTCAAATATTTTTAAAAGTATTAATATAGTCTTTGTTGCTAATACACATTAATAGATCTAAATACTTCTTTCAAATTCCAAGCAAAAAGAAGAGATATAGATCTAGATCTATATATTGCAGATACCTATTTAAAAGTATTTATCTAAGTCTAAGTAGCCTATTAGATGTTAATTTTCTGACAAAATTTGCAGTTCATATGATTAATTAAATCTAAAACTGTAGATCTAGATAATGGCCTGATCACCACTCAAAAATGCAGGGATATTTGGCTGAGGCATAAACTACAAGCTAAACTGCTACTCAAATTTAAAATGTTCTTAAGAAAACTTTTCGGATGAGCAAAGCAATGTCTGTGTTTAGCACAAACTTCATTAATGTCCCTGAAATGCATAATATCCTTTTTAATTGAATAATCCAAGAAGCATTCTGCTGTGGCCATCTCAGTCTTATCACTCAACTCAGTTTTGTTTTTTTAAGAAATCAATGTTAGTGAACAAGCTCAAAATTTAACGTACGGGAGTTAGAAATCAAAATAATAACAGTAACAAGGAAGTTTAGGCTAGGAAGGGCATTCAATCGTCGACACTTTTTCTTCCCCTTTGATTTGCTTAGCAATATGGATCTACACACAATTTGAAATACAGCTTGGAAAAAAGTAAATGATTTCAGAGAGATCAGGACTCTTAATCAATCGCACAAATATAAAATCACTTTGAAATGCACATAAACAGTTTATACTAGGTATCGTCCATTTGTAAATAACAGTCCCATGATCCTTCTTAAAAGACAAAGGGGAAAGGGTATTCCGTGGTCAATCTAAAAATAGAAATGAACGTTATTAAAGGTTTATTTTAAGGTCACGAGTCTCTTAGGTAAAATTCAAAAGCAAGCCACAGACTTAAGTTTCCGATACATGTGTTTGTGTATCAAACTACGATTTTCTCAAGACCTTAATTATTCTTCGTAACTGTTAAAAATATATGGTTTTCATAAAGCGTTACAATTTCTTGCAAATTCTTCATCGGCTTAAAAATTAAACTGAGTGGTTGGACATGGATCTCGAAAACAACTATATATAGCGATTTTCTTAGAAATTTGAGAGTCTATATATATATCTTTGGCAAAGAAAAATACTAGCTTATAATGGGCACAAAGGGAAAACTCTGGTTTGACCGTTATAGTTTTTATAAATATAAAAATCTAATGATTAAATTTGGTCTGAAGGTCTAGACTCTTTATATTTTGAACAGACATGGATGGCTGCCTGGCAGTGCAGTATTCGCGCTGGACTGTCGGTCGGTCGTCTATTGATGGTCCCGCGGGTTCATACAATACCCGCTGACATCTTCCGACGTCTTGTTGTAGGTTTGAACTAGGATGTATATTATCTTCAACTCTGAAGGAACATCCGAAACTTGTAGAACATTTTACAAAACATAAACTTTCAAACTAAAAGTAAAAAATGCTTTCAGCACCGACCTTCTAAGTCTATGTATGAGCATATGGAGTGGGTTGCCTGAGTCAGCCAGGAAAACAAATTGCTTAGCAGAATTTAAGTCATTGATGATAACATTCGTGACTAGATTGACTTAGGGACACGCGTAGGACGTAATCATCTTCTTTTTTTAAGTAACGTCTGTTTTTATAAGATAGGAGTCTTTGACTATTATGACTATAATTGTCTTTCAAGCTGTCATCTTAATTAAAAGGCAAAATCACCCTTACAAAAAGTATCGATCAGCTTCTTTATAGAGGAATTATCTTTAACAATCTGTTTTAAAATCAAATATACACTTTAGGCCTACATTGTTACTTTTGTAGGACTAGTCAATCTAGATCAGTGATCCGGTTCCACGGAACTTTATAAGTGTTTCGCGAGGTCTGAACTACTGGGAGGCAAGGGAAACGTTGCTAAGTAGGTTTGAACTTGGCTTGGCTTGCCTACCTATGAAGGAAACTCGAGGTTCGAGTTGAGTTTACTGAGCGCCTAAAGCAAGTAAAACCTTCTCCCATACATGTTACCATACAGGTCGAAGATTTTTGGTTTCCTTTAAGCATAAAAGCTATAATTATTTTTTTTAAAAGCAAAATGTTCCGCTAAAGACTCAGAATGTGTGAAATGTTGCCAAAGGAAAAAATTTGGGAAACACTGATCTAGATCAAATATGTATAGAGGCGTACAGGTGAGGTTGCAGAGTTTCGCATAGTCAAATATATCGATGGTAAAATAGATCTTTATACTTTCACCTCCACCTATCTTTTGAAATGTTGCGGCACGTCCGTCTTTCTCAATTCCTCTCTGTCTTTTGCCTTGCATAAAAATATCTTTTAATGGTCGTCCATTCTTTGATGTCTTCCCATCGCTTTCTATGTCTGCTTCTTCTTCTTTAGCTGGTTCTGAAAGAAGGTCCAGATCTTTATACTGTCAAAAGTATATTTAATCGAAACATTCTTATCGGTAATGTAGCAAATTTATATGGGTTATCGGAAAGTATCATGTTAGGCCAACTAGGTTAATATTCTCAGTGGGAATGGTAGTGGCGAACACCCTTCAAACTCGACCGATCCGCAACCCCCGAAGAAGGTCAAATTTTAGTAGAGAAATCACACAATGCGGGCTATATATGATTTCTTTACATATGTTAATAATATATACTAATTGTTTAGTGGCTGTCCATTTACTGTGATCTTTGGGGCTGAGTAGGTTTTATTGGGTGACTTATGGAAAATGACTTCTGTTTGCCCGAGGTTTATAGATAAACCAAAAGAGGCTCAGCGTATGCAAAGTCGTTGACCGCGATCTGGAGATCATGTTCAAAGTGGACTAGCAGGGCGCAATCGTCGGCATTGAGAACCTCTGTTATGAACATTTCTTTTTTTTTTATGGGACGTGGTAGACCACTTCATATATCTAGGAAGCATATTGCTTTCAATGGAAGTTGATAACCGTCTGGCCAGGGACAGTAGTGCTTTTGGACTCCTCCAGCGAGAGTTTGGCGGAATATATCGCTCCGCCTGCCTACAATGATAAATGTCTACCAAGCAGTAGTTTTCTCAACCCTTCTACATGAATATGAGACATGGGTGCTACACAGAAAGCAACAAAGACTACTTGAACGCTTTCACCAAAGATGCTTGCGCTCCATCATGGACATACAGTCCAAGATGCTCTACAAACAGCGATGTCGTTGCGAACGCAGGTATGTACAGTATAGAAGGACTTCTTATGGTCCGACAGTTACGCTTGGCAGGGCAAGTATGCCTTATGGGGTACGAACGTATGCCAAAAGCAGTCTTTTTTTGTGTGCGATGAAAGGTGGTTGACGTAACAGAGGTGGCCCCATACGAGGTACGAACATATGACAAAAGCATTCTTTTTTTTTTTGGTGAGCCGAAAGGTGGTCGACGTAACAGAGGTGGCCCACGGAAACGCTTTAAATATCAACTTAGGTGCTAATATCTGCTGTAACTAACATCATCACCATCATCAAACTCCATTTGAGTGAGGGCGTGAGAGACTCAAATCATTTCTTGCAAAAGCCCTGGACAGAAACCCTGGGTTTTGCGTAGTGCACACATGTCACCTTACAGAATTAGAATTTTAGGTTTCCCAGACCTGTCGAGATGGATATCTGCAAGTCTGGGGCTGTCAAAAAGAATATGCGACACGGTTTCCTCTGTTTCTCACATAGCCGTGAGAAATATGAGCCAACAGGACAGTGGCCTCTTCTGCACTGTGCTATAATAGCTTGCCCAGGCCTGGACAGCCTCCATCACGGGGAATTGCGGTCAGGGAGCCTCATGCGCTCCCAGACTCTACGGGCTTTTTTTTTGGAGTTGTCCCAGCACTCAAACCACTTTTCCATTTCTTTTTTTCTTTTGGGAAATACTGCATTCGTCATTAATCTTCGGACTCGAGGGCAAGCCTTATTATTAGACTAATTGCTTATATTTTAACCAATTTTTATATTAGGCCTATCTGTCACGCCCCCCCACCCCCCGTATAATACCTTCGAGCGGGGGGGGGGGGGGATTCAATTTTTGTGCAGATATCACTGTTTGTAAACAAAATTAGTTAAAAATCTATATAAGTTAAGCTACTTAATGATATTTTAACCAATCTTTATATTATGCCGCCCCCCTTCTGGTGTTTTAGCCGATTAGCGTGGGACGAGGCGATTGCATCAACTGCCCTACCCACCCAAACCCTTTGAGCTGGGGGAGGGTGGCGGTCCAATGTTTATGCAGAAATAAACTACTACTTTATCTATAGCTACATATATATGCCGTGTGACGCTTATATAGACTACATATGGGTTAGGGTTTACTTGACGATAGGGCCTATATAACTCAAAAGTTCTGGATCGGTTATAGTGGTTATTCCATATTTTTTAAAATTATAAACACAAAATAAATAAATAAATATAACGTTCTAAGTGTAAATCAGAATGCATTAAATTGATTTATATATTTACATAAGATAACAAATTTAGCTAAATACAGATCTAATTTACTATTGCAACATACTTATATAGGGCCTGATTTAAACGGAAGTACATCATATTTAACTTCTACTTTCATAATTACATAGGAACGAAACAAACCCTTTCTGAGGTCGTGATATCGCAAGATATATCATAATGTTTAAATGTAGATGATAGATCTAGTATCTATCTTTAGATATCTAGACTCTAGCTAGAATCTACATTAAATAAATCTATCAAATGACATCATTATACAAGAATCTAATAGCCAAAAAGGTAACCACTGTCAGGTAATGTTAATGTTAAATGTAGATCATAATTTTAATATAATAAATAGTTACTTAACTTAATAGTAGATGAAGTAGATGACTAGAGTCTAGATCATAGTAGATGATAGAACTGGTCTTACTAGACTCTAAATAGTAATCTAGATCTAGAATCTAGATTAATTCTAGATCTACTACCTCAGTACTACTAGTACTAGATCTAGAATCCTAGATCTATATCTATATTCTAATAAAAATATTTATATTACAATATTAGTAATAGATTTCTATATTCAATATTGTATTAAATTATTAATTCAATTTAATTCATAATTGTATTCACAGTATTGATAATTGATCATTTTGATAATTGAAATTTGAATTATGAATTAGAATAGATATTTATAATATTAGTAATATCAGATTCAGATCATCTGCTATTGCCCTAGTCCCTAGCCTATATAATATAGATCTACTATTATATTAACTATGTATAATATAGATCTATTAGATCTAAGATAAGTATATTGAGTATAGAGTCTGTATATTATTATATTTATATCTATAATAAGTATAATAATATATAATATTAAATTTTTAAATAGATCTATATAATTCTCTTCATGGTTCTAGAGTTTGGACACCTAGTAATGGAAAGATCACTCTTTTATTTCAGCAAGTCGGACAGACTAGAGTTACCCCACGTAATTTTAGAGGCGAAAAATAAAAGGAGGGGGGTGGATGAACAAGTAGTATTCACCTGTCACTAAATAGCAGGGCTAGACTTAACCATTGTGACCAAGAAGTCATGGAAAAAAGAACAAATAATCTACTCTGTATTCACCCGTCACTAAATAGCAGGGCCGGACTTAACCATTGTGGGGCCCAATGCGAAAATGGATTTCACGGGCCCAGCTTGGGTAGAGACACGGATAATAAGGGAAAATTAAGAGTTTGTATTAGAAAATATATTCGTCTTTGCATTCTATTCATGCTTTACTACGCACAGAATTACTACACAAGCCTTGTGTGTAGTGAAGTC